TCATTGCTGGTAATAGGTCTGTTCATATTTTCTGTTTCTTCCTAACTCAGTTTTGGTAAGTTATATGTTTCTAGGAATTTATCCATTTCTTCTAGGTTATCCAATTTGTTGGCATATAATTATTTATAGTAATCTCTTATAATCCTTTGTATTTCTGGGATGTCACTTGTTATTTCTCCTCTTTCATTTCTGATTTTGTTTGACTTTCTTTTTTCTTTCTTTCTTTCTTTCTTTCTTTCTTTCTTTCTTTCTTTCTTTCTGAATCTGGCTAAAAATATATCAATTTTGTTGATCTTTTCAAAGAACGAGCTCCTGGTTTCATTGATTTATTTTTTTTTTTTTTTTTAGTTTCTATTTCATTTATTCTGCTCTAATCTTTATTATTTCCTTTATTCCACTATTTTTGGTTTTTGTTTGTTTTTCTGGCCCCTTTAGGTGTAAGATTAGTTTGTTTATTTGATAATTTTCTTGCTTTTTGAGGTAGACCTGTATTGCTCTAAACTTCCCCATTATAACAGCTTTTGCTGTATCCTAAAGATTTTGGACCATTGTATTTTCATTTTCATTTGTCTCCATGTATTTTTTTTTTATTTCCTATTTGTTGTCTTGATTAACCATTCATTGTTTAGTGGCATTTTATCTAACCTCCATGTACTTGTGTTCTTTCTAGATTTTTTCTTGTGGTTGATTTCTAGTTTCCTAGGGTTTTCATCAGAAAAGATGCATGGAATGACTTTGATCTTTTTGAATTTGTTGAGACTTGTTTTATGGCCTAACATGTGATGTATTCTGGAGAATATTCCATGTGCACTTGAATAGAATGTGTATTCTGATGATTTGGGATGGAATGTTAAATATATCTGTTAAATTGATCTGGTCCAATGTGTCATTCAAAGCCTTCCTTGTTCATTTTCTGTTTGGATGATCTGTCTATTAATGTAAGTGGGGTGTTAATTGATAGGTAGATATTTATTGGTAGGTAGATATTTATTGCCATTTTGTTACTTGTTTTATGGTTGTTTTTGTAGTTCATCTCTGTTCCTTTCTTCTCTTGCTCTCTTCTCTCATGATCAGTTGGCTTTCTTTAGTGATACACTTGGATTCCTTTCTTTTTATTTTTGGCATATCTGTTACTGGTTTTTGATTTACAATTACCATTCGGTTTTTACATAACAGTCTATATTAAATTGATGGTCACCATCACTGAACTACTTAGTGACATTGGTGCCCTTTTTAGCAGCATGTTCCTGATGGCCTTGATGTTTTCTCTGGACCCTCTCCTGGAACATAATTATCTAGTGGTTTTTATGACCTCACATAATAAATATATCTACTTCAGTAACCCCAATTCTCTCAGTGGTTTTATTCCTTCCTCTACCTCCTGTGTAGGCAACTCAGGCATTACCCCTTTTCCTCAAGATTGGCCATCACTTTCTTCAGGCTTCTAAAAGTCACCCTAATAATGAGTTTGCCCCTTCCTCTGGGGTCTTGCCAGGGTATTAAATCCCATGTCCTATGAAAGCCCAGTTTAACATTCCAGCCCCTTGATCAAGCATCTTCAAAATTCATTTTCAGTGGTAGTCATTGACTCCTGCCAATACAAACTAATTATACTATGGAATATGATTTTTTCTCTCTGTTATCTTGCCCAGCATGTCCTCATCTAGATTGTACTGAGATTTAACTCTAGTTTTTGGCGTATCAGCCAGGAGAAGGGGCATGGGGAGCTCCTATGAGGACACTTCTTGAAACATCTTATTTTCTAGCATATGGCGAGTCCACTTCCACAAGCTCTGAGATTTCAGGGGCACCTGCAGAGTCAGCATCACATCCTCTGGAGCATCCATCCATTTATTAATGCCATCAGGAATGTGGTGGTAAAAAGGGAACTGCATCACTAAGAAGTTCAGTGTCTGTCTTCTATAAACCAAAACTGACAGTAGAGTCAGTCACAGAATTGGGCTCATTAATATCCGTAGGATTAATGAGGTTTCCAAAGTAGTAGAAGCCAGGTGGTGGTACTTAAACACAGAAGCCATGTTTCAACCAAGTTTTCCCAGCAAGAATTCTGGCCTTAGCATGAGACCTGCCCGGCTGGACACATAAATATCTCTGGAACTCTGTCACTATCTGGTCCTCAGTCTGCTGCTTAGTTGTGTCAATTCCCAGGATAGGGGATAAAGGCTACCAAAGAGTCCTCTGCCTTTCCCACTTAGTCTTTAACTGCTAGTCAGTGGCCCCTGGTTTCTCATTATCCCCCTCTGCAGGGCATCAATACAACTCTATAACCAATCCATTCTGCCGTCCTTGTAGGGGTCCACTCCCCCATATATTTCAAATGATTGAATCATTACACCTGCCAGGATATTCCTCTCCATCAGTTCATTTTCCTAAATGGAAAATATTTTACCACCCGTGAATTTTTTTTTTAACAATTCGGCTGTCATCTCCTTTCAGAAACTATTCATGCTCCACATACTACTCAAGATGGCATCTTTTTTATCTATTGGATAGTAACTGAACCAGTTTCAAAGCTTTATCTTACCATTTGTTTTCTTAGAACACTTCCAGTAGTATTTGTATTAGTTTGTGTTCTTCAAGGATCAGCTGCCAAGATGGGATTAGAAGTGCAACAGGTTTATTGGGGAAACATTTGGGAAAGATAAAGGAGAGGGAGCTAGTGAAGGTGTAGAGAATCTTAAATGGTGATACAAGGATGTATCCTGTAAAGGAGGGGGGAAGGAGTGAAGATTTGTTTGGAAGAGTTTCAGAGTACAGCCTAGTTCTAAAGAAGTTTCAGTCAGATTGATGGGAAGTCCTCAAACCAAAATTTTCCACTAAAGGCATTCTGCATTAGCATTCTTAGCACGTTTAGTTTTGACTAAGAGCAGCCTTTAGGAAGCATGACTTAGGTATGTATATGATGGAGGAATCTGAGGGATAATAGCAGAGGCCATCAAGTCACTTATGCTCTAAACTGGACTATTTTCACAGCCATACGCTACATGATCTCAAGATGACTTTTAGCAGCTATAGGGATTAAATCCTTTCAAGTTTGAATCCAGATGAAGATAAGCATCTTTGTCCTAACATTTCTAGCAAAAGCCCTAAGATTGATTTGGATTGGGTTAGCTTGGGCCGTATGCCCACCCACCTCATTATAGCCAGGGAAATACCATGTTATGATTTTTTTTCGGGTCTAGGTTTCACCCAATTACAAGATAGATATTGGGGCCCCACTCATACCATGAGAACTGAGCAGCGGTGGAGGGCAGATTCCCAAACAAAAACATGCACATAAAAAATGTATGTATTTTTAATTTTAACTGTTGTTGCCAGGTTGCTATCCAAAGACATTATAACAACTCACAGTTCCACCAAAAGTATAAAATGGTACTTTTCTCCCACATCATCACCAGCAATGTTGGTTAGCTTTGTTTTAATATTTTTGCCAACCTGATGGATACAAAGTGCTAGCTAATTATTACTTCAATTTACAATTTCCTAGTTCTAGCATATTTTTTCACACATTCACGGGACGCTTGGATTTGCTTTTCTATAGATAGAATCTTTACATCTTTGGTCCATTTTCCTATTGTTTTTCTTCTTTTTCATCCTTGTCAGTCTATAAGAACACTTTTCGTATTATAGCTAATAATCCTCGGTCTGTCCTCTGCATTGCAGATAGGCAAGGAAAAAGCCTCAACTCTGCACACTCTTGCCCATCTCCATCTTTATAATCAGTATGAGATCATAGTCCTCAGGGTGCAGTTTAGATCAATATGCCAGGAATGTGCAGTGCTGGGACAACTCCATTTTTGAAAAACAAAACAAGGTAGGCCCCAGTGAAGGACAATTTCCATGCCCCGTCCTCTCCTCCATCCCCCTCACTGGGGCAATATTCCTCAAATTTCAGTCATTCTGGAACCACATAAACAATTTTGTCATATTCTTTAAATTTTGCATGATTTCTATTTCTGGAACTTGACATTAAAAAAATGTTTATTTATTTATTTTGAGAGAGAAAGAGCAGGGCAGATAGGCAGAGAGGAAAGAGAGAATCTTAAGCAGGCCCCACGCTCCATGTGGAGCCTGATGCTGGGCTTGATCTCATGACTGTGTGATTATGGCCTGAGTCAAAATCAAGAGTCAGATGCTTAACCGATTGAGCCACCCATGTACCCCTGAAACTCGACATTTTAACATATCTATATTAAAAACAATTTTTTTTAACATTTACTTGTTATTGAGAGACAGAGAGGCACAGAGCATGAGCAGGGGAGGGGCCGAGAGATGGAGAGACACAGAATCTGAAGCAGGCTCTAGTCTCCGAGCTGTCAGCACAGAGCCCCACGTGGGGCTTGAACCCACAAACCGCGAGATTGACCTGAGTCGAAGTCAGACACTTAACCGACTGAGTCACCCAGGTGCCCCTAACATAGATATATTTTAAAAGAAAAGTTTATGTTATTGCCATGATATCACTACACTTACTAGTTACAATTTTCCAATACACATTAAAAGTAAATTGACAACTCTGAAAGTAAAAGATACTCATCATCTGCATGCCACTTAAAATACACCATGCTTTGGGAAACTACATTAGAGCATGCCATAGGTTCAGGGACTAGTCAAGCAGAAAATCAAGGATGTACAGAGCTATGAGCTTCACCCCTTATCTATAGCACAATGCCCCAAATGGATGGGGTGCACGATACATTCATTTATATCTGAGGAAAAGAGCACAGAAAGGTATAATTGCTTTCCATGCTATAGGCAGGCATTAGAATCCAGGCCTTGCTCCAAAAGTACTGGGGTAGCAGGTCTCTATCAAGTCCAGTGGGAGAACTTTACCTACTGGTCAGGGCCCTAGGAAGCCTGAGCCCAGGACAAACCAGGATTGTATTACCAACATTCTGCATTCTGGCCAGAACACTACAAGTTCTAAGGTTCTGCGAATTATGCTAGGGTCAAGGGATCAGAAGGGGCTGCCTCTCAAGGTACTATGATTTTGTTGGGTCATAGTCCCTGATGGGGGTGCCTGTCCAAGCCCACCAAGGTCTGACTGGCCTAGAACTGGCTGAACCCAGGCTGGAGGAGTGATGTGCTGGCCGCGGGCATGGGGCCAAATCCTCTTGCCAGGTTTCCTCTCCGTCTTTCTCATTCAGCTGCTTATCAGCTTCTCAGAGAATCACTTTTCCCAAATCTCCAGACAGAGGGGCAAGCAGAGACCAAAATCTCTGGATGATGGTGAGCCATCCCGAGCTGAGGGGTTGATCCCTACACACACCCCTGCCACCATATTTCCTTTTGGTTGTGCCACCATGGCAGGCTGAAATTTTCATCTTTAAAGTTTCATTTAGTGTTTGCAGGAAGATATTTTTAAAAGCCCTTGATATTTTTGGTGAAATCCAGTTTAATTGGACTCATATTGATTTGCTTTATCAGAAATGTGAAGACTGGATTAAAACAGTTTAAAATATTGGGAAAGCATGTGGCCCCTCCACCCCCCCTTTTTGTATGACCTATAGCACATGTTTATGCTGTGAATAAGCTGTTGGGTTTTGCTCTAATCAGACTCTGCTGAATAGCCATAGCTAGTCTTTCTTGGTTTTTTAAGGTTTTAATTAATAAACTGCTTAATTTGTGTCTTTTTTTAAATGTTTATTTATTTTTGAGAGAAAGAGACAGAGCATGAGCAGGGGAGGGGAAGACAGAGAGGGAGACACAGAATCCGAAGCAGGCTCCAGGCTCTGAGCTGTCAGCACAGAGTCCAATTTAGGGCTCAAACCCACGAACCACCAGATCATGACCTGAGCTGAAGTTGCATACTTAACTGCCTGAGCCATCCAGGTGCCCCTGCTTAATTTGTGTCTCAAGAAAGACTTACTTTGGTCTGAAGATTTCCCTTGAAGATTTCCCTGGGATTTCCCAACTGAAGAAATTTTGATGTTAATTCATGCTGAGTTGAATTCATGAACCTGGAAATAAGGTTTTTAGTATCCTAAATTGAAATTGTATAGAGAGAATAAGGGGTGAATTAGGATTTGAATTATTTGGAAAATGTCCTGTAAAGCCAAGATTGCCATTTGTATAAAAACTGTAAGGATTACAGCTGTCTGGTTTCTGGAGTCTAAAAGAATGTTAATATCTGTAAGGGAATCAGTCTTCCTTACTAAAACCAAACCCAAAGCTCTCAGCTTTGAGTCTCTGAAATGAGACTCCCCCTTTGAGATGATGGGGAGTAGGGAGAGGCTGAATCAAAAGGCCTAGTTTGTTTCTTTTGATTTCATCTTTCCCATAGATTTTTCTCTTTTGGCTTCTTGGTCATCTGCATACATTTTCCAAGAGGAACAGTGTTCTATTCCCACCATGTTCTCCCCACAAACAGTGCCTGAAAACATAGGCCAAGCATGGAAACAAACCCTTCCTTTAGTTCCCTAGCAAACTGGAGTCATACTGGACTTTTTCAAAAGACTTTATTTAAATGCTGATGAAGAACAAAAAGAAAGTGAACAAAAACAAATCAAGAATTACAGATAACATAGTCTGGTTTCCAAAGACTGAAGTTTCTGATTCTAGTTAGTTCACTTCTAGGGCTGAACAACCCTGTTCAAGGTTTCTGAAGAAAAGGCTTTCCTTTGTGAAGGAAAGCTTGGTTCAATCTGTCCTGGGCCTCCCCTGAATGTTTGCTTCCTAGCCTGAGGCATTTCCCTTTTGTGCTTGTATTCAACCTTCCCATCTAACAAGGATATGGTTTCTTAGACATCTTGATTCCTTCAGCTCCAAAACAGAAATTGATTCTAACCCCTCACTGAGATCCCCACCTCCATCCTTCCTAGCACTCTGAGTGAATAGGCCTTTCCCACAGGACTTTGTGAATGAACCCACAACTGAGACCTACTCCAAAGCATGTTGCTTTGATCCCCAGAGCTTTTAACCCTAATGTTCACTTAGATTTGAGAGCTCAATTAGCAATTTGCTAAGAAGTTATAGTTGTACTTGGAATTTGGGGTTAGGAATCTTTTCCCCCAATGTCTAATGAATGAATGAAAAATCACACCAAAATATAGACAAATTCTTTCACCAGAAGCAACCAAACAACTAAGGAACATAGTCTAAAAACATGTGGCAACCAAGGAAAACAAATCAAAGATTCTACAACAGAATAGAATAGCATAGGGGCAACTGGGTGGCTTAGTTGATTAAGTGTCAGACTCTTGATTTCAGCTCAGGTCATGATCTCATCATTCCTGAGCCCTGCATCGGTCTCTGTGATGACAGTGTGGAACCTGCCTGGGATTCTCTTTCTCCCTGTCTCTCTGTACCTCCTCTGATTGTGTGTTCAGGGGCTCTCTCTCTTAAAAATAGAGCGCCTGGGTGGTTCAGTTGGTTAAGCGTCCAACTCTTGATTTCAGCTCAGGTCATGGTCTCATGGTTTCTGGGTTAGAGCCCCACGTCAGGCTCTGTGCTGATGGTTCGGAGCCTACTTGGAATTCTCTCTCTCCCCCTTTTTCTCTCTCTGCCCCTCCACTGCTGTCTCTCTCCTTCTCTCTCTCTCTCTCTGTCTCCCAAAATAAATAAATAAACATTTAAAAAATAACAAAAATTAAAAAAATAAAAACGTAAAAAAAGAGAGAATAGAATAGTATAGCATGACAATGCTCCAAATACCACTATCACCCTTTAGAAGAACTGGTGACTAAGTTCCAAGAATTTCCATGAATACTCCTGGAACTAGAGAGATGCAAACTGAGTGTGTTTCCTGTACTTCACTCTGTTCTGAAGAATAACAAAGGAAATGGTTGCAGAGGAGAAATAAGGGAAAAATAAAAACTGAACAACGCATCTGTCTCTGATGGAAACATCTGTCCCTGGGCAGCAAGCTCAATTTCAGGGCAGATCTACAGTCCCCTTTATGGAAATGGGAAATACCTCCAATTAGCTAGAATCCTGGCAAAGGAAAATGACAAAACCTCAGAAGAAAGTGTAGAACCCAGATATTCTAACAAAGTCTGGCACAGCCTCACCTGAGTTCTTTCCCTTTGTCAGGTACTGAGAACAACAGAATGAATAGAACATAAAAATACCATAAAACTGTAGTTTCTCAGAAAAATATCTGAGGATATTTGGATAGTTGGAAGGTGGTCAAGCTATCACCTACACCATATCAGCACACATAGAATATCTGAACACAGCTATCCAAGCATTAGTAAGATGAAAACAGACAACTGAGCAACTATGGAAACACTGCTTAGCTAACAAAACAAATAATGAAATTAAGGAGTATGATAGCATGCAGAATAAGAATAATTTCCCCTAGAATAAAATGTAAGGGACAAATGAAAACTTCCCTACAAGTGCTCTGAGCTGGGGAACCACCAAATAAGAAATAGATTCCGTGAAACTGGTCTCAAAGTAAATATCTGAGAATGAGATAAAAAGGCAGATTTCTCTGAGGGAATACATTGAAAGCTAAATAATTTGAATATGAGGCAAGGTTTCCAGGCTTTCTCCTTATTTCCGTAAGTACCCATATATTTCTGCTAATGGTGAACATACCAGGAATATTTATCATTTATACTCTAAAGTATAATATTCTTTTGGGCTCTGTTAACTGTCTTCTTCCTCTTCCTCTAGCCTAGGGGGTGCTGGTATCTGGGAGGTTTCACTGTCTTTCCCCTGGCAGACTCCTCGGTTTCTTCCATCACCTGTACACCCAATTCCCAGTACTAAGTTTTCTATGTCATGTACTCAGAGTGATTACTATCACTCACAGACCCTCTCTGAAATACACACTCAAAAAGATATTATTTAGCAAAATGCAAATGAGCCAAAGGGAAATGTAGAATTCAAGAAAGAGTAGTAAATAAAGAAACCAATAACTTTGAGTCAATTCTAAATGATTGATAGAAAGTCAACAGCAATTTAAATATAAAAATAATTTAATAATAAGTGATAAGCATTTAATAGTAATTAGCATTCCAGTTGACATCTACCTGGGAAGTGGTGTGGGGAGGAAAAGGAAAAAATCAAAAGCATATTAGGCTCTTGTAGATGTAGAGAATGTAGATCCTGACTAGGCAGATTAAAAAGAGGCATATAAAATATATCTCTCAAAATTTTTAAAATAATAGTTTACATATAAGTAGAAACAAGAAGTGTGACTTCAAAACCATTAGAGGAAATAAAGGCACAAAGAATAAATTTATGGAATAAAATAAACCTTTCAAAAATGCTACTGAAAAAGAAAGCAAGTATAGCAATATTAATATTAGATAAAATAGAATATAAGTAAATCTTTTAAGTAGAAGTAATATTTTGTGCTCATATTATAGCACAGTACATGAAGATGACATATGGAGCTTTATTATCAAGTTTTGAAGTATATACAGCAAAAGTTGATAGAAATAAAAAGAGCATTTGACAAATTACAAACCACATGGGATCACTTTACATGCCTATATCAGAAATCAACAGATCAAGTATATAAAATATAAGGATATAGTATAGAGAATTATAATATATAAAACCTTGTGATCTGCCCCCATTGTTTTTTTTTTCCCTCTTAGCTGTTCTTAAAACAATTCCCCTTCCAGATAAACATTAGAATCAACTTGTCTGATTAATTGTTTTATTTTTTAAATTATTAATTTATTAACTCATTGCAATATCAGTCAAACCAGAAAGATCCTGTTTTGATATCTGGCATAATATATGTTGATGCCTGGCATCCCTAGGTGTTTCAAATTGAGATCACTCATGGGAGAAGAGGACCAAAGATGGAACTTTGTGGAATAGCAACATTTTAGACATTGATGAGAGGAAGTTGAACCAGTCAAGGAAATTCAAAAAGAATGTTCAGAGATGTTCCGGGAGAACTAGAAGACAATGATGCTGCAGAAGTTGTGAAAAAAAATGTAATCAAGAGGATGGAATTGACTAGATAGAATATAGATATACAAAAATTAAGCCTTTAGGGTAAGGGAAGAATCTGGTATCTGGCTGTGTAAAGAGCAAGTACCTCTTTCTTCAGGAATAGAGTGAAAGAAAGAACCTATTGCTTCATGTAAAACATGATCATGTAGGTTAGCTGGTCCTCATTGGTTCTCCAATAAGGGCTACAAAGACTATAGATAAGGTTAGTTATGCAAATGTTTAATCTAAATTTCTGAGAAGGACCACATCAGGTCATTCACTGACATGAGGGTCAGGCTAAAGAAAATGAAATGAGTCCATGAAAGACAAACAGATTTGGAAAACAATGGAAAGGTCAGGGAAAGTGAAGTTCTGAGTAAGGTCAAAATGCAAGTAAGAGAGGAAAAGAAGATTCTAAGCAGAGAATAAAATATGGGAGTTTAAGAATTCATGGCAGAGTCATTCAGAATGATGGCAAAATTTAAGTTGGGGATCATGAAAATAATTTGCTTACGATGAAGAATCAGAGTTTTTCTTAATGGTGGAATTTCAGTGTGTTCTTAATGTGTACATATTTCTTATATTGAACATGTATCACTTTTATAACTACATAAAGATAATTGTTTTAATTTTGGAAAAAAGATAGGTAGAAGGGATGAAAAGAAGGGAAACATCAGGATTTAGTGGAAAGAAACAAATATGTGGACTTTATATTAACTGGAATATTTCTGGGTGCAGTGTAAGAAACCAAGATTTTACCTATAAGAGAAACGTAAGTGAATCAAGAGTAGGAATGCATGGGACCTGAGAAATGAATCACCATCAGCTCCTTATTTCTCCTTCTGTTTTCTCTCCTTTCCTCTGCTTATCAATTTTATTTTGTCCTATTAGCTTCTTCCTCAGAACATCTTTCATGGTCACTGGCAGCTCCATCTTCTCAGCTTACCAAACAAAGAGAAAGTGGCTCCCTGCCACTTCTTAACCCTCAAGTTTTAATTTATAAATCATCAGTGGAAGATTCTCATTGGCCTGACTTGGTCATATTTCCTCTCCCTGGACCAGTGAGTGTGGTCTGGGATTAGCTCAGTTTGTTTCAGGTGTACAGCCTTTGATGCCTGGCTGGGACCATGGAGTTTGGGTAGGAGAGGGCAGTCACCAATTATACCATGTGTCTAATGCTAAGAAGGAGCAGTCCTGCAAAGGAAAGATGGGTTATATTTCCCAGGAGAAAGGAGAGGTGCTGGCAGTCAAGAGCTCAAATCCACACTCTGTCATTATTAGCAGGTGAACTTGAATATGTTATTTGACTTTTCTGAAGTCAGTTTCTTCATCAATAAAGTGGCTTTCAGGATTCCAGGATTTCAAATCTTTCAGGATTGTGCAGACTGGTTATAAATGCTCACAAGTAAGCATTTATGTTTATAAATTGCTTAATAAGGATTCCATATGATCTTAGAGTGAAAGCCAATTTATGTTTCCCATTTAGCTGGATTGATTCCTGGCTGTGGCTGCTCAGAAGGGTTTTGCATTTTTCTAGCCTTTTCTTTCAGAGATGCACCTTTTCCTAGTTTACACAAGGATGCCCTGCCTTCAACTAGTGCTAGCAGCAGTCCTATGTCTTCAACTTTCTCTAATATATATAAATATAAAAAAGCTACATAAAAACCATTTTGATATCATGTACATGCTGATGTAATGTGATAAGGCAACTTCACCTTTGCACTATTCTTCCCCCAAACCCAGGTTTTCAGTCTAATTATGATAAAAAAAAATCAGACAAATTCAAATTGAGGGACATCCTACAAAATATTTGGCCAACAAGGTTCAAAACTGTCAGGGTCATGAAAAACAAGGAAAGGCTGAGAAGCTGTCACAGACTAGAGGAGACATGATGATCAAATGCAATGTGGGATCCTAGATCTTGGAACAGAAAAAGAGCATTAGTATAAAAACCAATGTGGTGCACCTGGGTGGCTCAGTTGGTTAAGTGTCCGACTTCAGATCGGGTCATGATCTCACGGTCTGTGAGTTCCAGCCCAACATCGGGCTCTGTGCTGACAGCTCAGGGGCCAGAGCCTTCTTCGGATTCTGTGTCTCCATCTCACTCTACAACCCCCCTTGTTCACACACTCTCCCTCTCTCTCAAAAATAAATAAACATTAAAAAAAACTTTAAAAACCAATGAAATCCTAGTAAAATTTGGAGTTTAGTTAAAAGTAATGTATCGGTGTTGGTTTCTTAGTTTTGATAAACGTACCATGACAATGTAAGATGTTAGCCATGGGGGAAACAGTAAGAGGTATACAGGAACTTTCTGTATATTCTTTGAAATTTTTCTGTAAATCTAAAATTCTTATAAAAAACTTTAGCTGCAGAAAAAAAAAAAGCGTGGGAAGTGAGTAGAATTTGGAGAATGGTGGCTAAGACATATGCCTTTTGTTTCCCTGCTCCTGCCTCCTGAAGTAAGCCTGAAAGCACCTGTCCCCAATGTAGCTGAAGCAGTAGAATTTTTCTCATCTACCTTGCCTTTTACTCAACTTCCCCTGGGACTCCAGGGATACTTTTGGGTAGGGGGAAGTAATACTTAATTTGAAAATCTATTGTAATTCTTTTCCCAGCCAAATTAGATCTGTATCCAGTCAAACAGTTTGAAATTGAGCTTATGAACCCTGCCCCCAAAGTAATAGAGTGACTATTATTATCATATCACATGAAAGGTGGGGTATTAATTCCAGACTCTACTTACTTTACAGAGATGTTGGAGTAAGAAACAGAGACATCAAAAATGTTTTTCAGACTTACAGTTTTTATTCTAGAACTTTCAAATTTAAGTTATATTATTTTGTCATGAAACAAGAAGAATGAAAATCTTCATCTGGGAGAAGTTTTTAAAACGTTGTGGCACAAGATGGAGAATTAAGTTTTTTGGTATTGAATGGACTAGTTAGCCAGGAATATCTTGGTAAAACCATGCTGATTAACAAAGGAATTACTAAAAGAGGTATTTAAAGTGTGATGTTGTAAATATGCAGTGATATTGCCAATTTAAGTTCTTACCGTTTTTTGGAAGTTATTTTTTAGAACTTACTTGGCTAATCAAAGTTGGATGATGCCATTTCATGTTTTTCCAAGCAATGATAGAAAGTAAGAAAGAATTAGGATTTAAACAGTACCAATGGGGAAAGTGTCTAGATATATGAAAATCATGAAATAAAACACTGGGGTGTGGATGAGTATGCCATGAAAGAGAAATGACTAAATGAAATGCATTTTTATATAAAACTAAGCAACAAATAGTCTTTGCATTTACATTTTTGCCCTTAATTTTTTATAGAGTGTGCTGTAAAGAAAAATTGTCAATTGTGCACAGAAGATAAAAAAGTAAGTTAAGTTATATATGGGGAAATTGTCTTGGGAATATTATAAAGTCATACTATATATAGTTGTAATCTAAAAGATATGTTAAACTTTATTTTATACAATATTTTTATAATAGGAATGACTAATAGCAGTTATTAAAGATGTATTTTAGCATTTCAAGCCATTCTTTGAGGATCTGGAAATAAATAATGGACACAATTTAGTACAAACATGTACTTCCTTCTAGAAAATCATGCTTAAAAACAAAACAGTTTTTTGTTTGAAAAGATTATACTGACTTTGAGAAGAAATTTTTGTAAGTCAAGGAAAAGATAAGCCCTTTGAGATGCAGTGAAAATCTCCTTGCTACTCTATTTCCCCAAAACTAGAAAGGATGAGACACTGTTCCTTAACCACAATGTAAAGTCCTTTCTCTGATGATTAGGCAGCTGACATCATTATTCTTCACTTCAGATTTGGAAAAAAGCAGAAATGCCATAAGAAATTAGGGAAATGGTGTTGCAGAGAGCTTTGCAGCAACTCTCACAACACTATTCTACCATAACCTGTATTGGAGAACCGGCAGTTAACACCAAAGACAGAGAGACATGAAATCACTAATTAGAAAAGGGCATACTGTAGTAACTGGTATCTGTAATGGTGATCTGGATGCATCATTCCAATGCACCATTCCAATGCACCTGTTCCCCTTCTTCATCAAGGTCGCTCCTTCATCTAATGGGGCCCTGGGCTCCTGGCTCATGGACTTCTCCACCCAATTCCTGACATCACCTTACGTGCTTTCCAAACTTGGTGAAAGTCCAGACACACTTGGTTTCTCCAGCTCCTGACTTCCTCAGCTCTGTGCATTGAGAAGTCACTTCCATGGCCATACCCTGAAGCTTGCACAACATACAATGCCTCTTACATTCTCATTCCCCTGACACTGTACATTTTGGCCTCAGCAGCACTGCCCTCTAGTCCTTTAATCTCTCATTTTTCCCTCAGTTTATTGGCCCTCTCCTATGGACTCCCTTCCTTCCTGTGAATTCTCATGGCTGTTTACTTGAATGAAATACTCTTCTACATTTTTTTGCATGTTACAATGGAAATTTTCAACATATGAAAGCAAAGAAAATGGTATGATAAAACTGATCCACAAGATCCATCTTGGCCAATCTTATTTCATGTATGTCCTCTCCTTGTCAAAATGGATTATTTTGAAACAAATAAGGATCTGGATACCATATCATTTTACTTGCAAGTATTTCTCACTGCCCTTTTCCCTCTCCCTCCTTCTCTGGCTCTTGCTCTTAGTGTGTGTGTGTGTGTGTGTGTGTGTGTGTGTGTGTGTGTGTGTGTG